TTTAGAAAACTAAAAGTGAAGAACACGCTCAGCATTTCTCAAGCTGAAAGAACTGAAGAAAAAATTCAAGCCTTGAGTTGCAATACTAAAGGATTCTATGGGCAAAATAGGAGCCCTTGTGGCTGCAGTGATTATGGGCTCACCTGCCAACCAAAAGGTCAGCAGTTCGAACCCACTAGCTGCTCCATGGGAGAAAAGACCTGGCTATCTGCTTTCATAAAGATTACAGCCTTGGAAACCCTACGGGACAGTTCTACTCTGTTCTATAGGGTCGCTATGAGTTAGAATAGACCCGATGGCAATGGGTTTGGTTTTTGGATGGGCAAAATATTGAACGAAACAGGAAACATCAAAAGAAAATGGAAGGAATATGCAGAGTCACTGTACCAAAAAAAAGGTCGACATTCAACCATTTCATGATATAGCATATGATCAAAAACTTGAAGGAAGAAGTCCAAGCTGCACTGAGGAAACTGGTGAAAAATAAGGCTCCAGGAATTGGTGGAATACCAATTAAGATGTTTCAACAAATGGATGCAACACTGGAAGTGCTCACTCATCTATGCCAAGAAATTTGGAAGACAGCTACCTGGCCAACTGACTGGAAGAGGTCCATATTTGTGCCCATTCTTAAAAAGTTGATCCAAGAGGATGTGGAAATTATAGAACAGTATCATTAATATCACACACAAGTATAATTTTGCTAAAGATTATTCAAAAACGGTTGCAGCAGTACACCTTCAGGGAACCGCTAGAAATTCAAGCCAGTTTCAGAAGAGGATGTGGAACAAAGGATATCATTGCTAACGTCAGATGGATCTTGGCTGAAAGCAGAGGATACCAGAAAGATGTTTACCTGTGTTTTATTGACTGTGCAAAGGCATTCAACTGTGTGGACCATAATAAATTATGGATAACATTGCAAAGAATGGGAATTCCAGAACACTTAATTGTGCTCATGTGGAACCTATACATAGACCAACAGGCAGTAGTTCAAACAGAGCAAGGGGATACTGCTTGGTTTAAAATCAGGAAAGGGGTGAGGCAGGGTTGTAGCCTTTCACCATAATTATTCAATTTGTATGCTGAGAAAATAATCTGAGAAGCTGGACTATATGAAGGGGAACGTGGCATCAGGATGGGAGGAAGACTTATTAACAGCCTGCCATGTGCAGATGGCACAACCGCGTTTGCTGCAAGTGAAGAGGACTTGAAGCACTTACTGATGGAGATCAAAGACTACAGCCTTCAGTATGGATTACACTTCAACATAAAAAAAAACAAAAATCCTCACAACTGGACCAATAAGCAACATCATAATAGATGGAGAAAATACTGAAGTTGTCAAGGATTTCACTTTACTTGTATCCACAATCCACACCCATGGAATCAGCAGTCAAGAAATCAAACGACATATTGCATTGGGCAAATCTGCTGCAAAAGACCCCTTAAAAGTCTTAAAAAACAAAGATGACACTTTGAAAACTAAGGCAGCCCTGATCCAAGCCCTGGTATTTTCAATCTCCTTATACCCACGTGAAAGCTGGAAAATGAATAAGGAAGATAGAGGAAGAATGGATGCCTTTGAATTACAGTGTTGGCGAAGATTATCGAGTATATCATGGACTGCTGATTAAGAGCTCGGCTGCTAAGCAAAAGGTTGGCAGTTCGAATCCACCACCTGCTCCTTGGAAACCTTATGGGGCAGTTCTACTCTGTCTTATAGGGTCGCTATGAGGCGGTTTATATAGACAAATCTGTCTTGGAAAAGGTACAGCTAGAATGCTCCTTAGAAGCAAGGATGGCAAGACATCATTTCACGTACTTGGATGTGTTATCAGGAGGGACCAGTCCCTGGAGAAGGACATCATGCTCGGTAGAGTAGAGGGTTAGCGAAAAAGAGGAAGATCCTCAACGAGATGGATTGACACAGTGGCTGCAACAATGGACTCAAACTAGTAATGATTGTGAGGATGTCACAGGACCGGGCAGTGTCTCCTTCTGTTGTATGTAGGGTTGCTATGAGTTGGAGCCCACTCAACAGCATCTTGAGTACGCAGGAAGGTATTCAAAATTTGTAAATGTACAAGAATATTCATTATGGCATTTTTTATAATTGCAAAAATTTGGAAATAACCTAATTACTCACCAGTAGGTAAATTATTGCACTTCCACCCAATGTGATACTAAACAACTATCGAAAATAATATAGATCCTTGCTCATAGACATAAACAGATGGTCCTAACTTTTTAAGTGTACTAGTATAGAAGAGTTTAGGATGATCTCATCTGTGAAAAAAATTGTATATGATACCTGCTTGTGAGTCATATGTATACATATCAAAAAACAAACAAACCTGTTGCCGGCGAGTCAATTCCAACTCATAAAGACCCTACAGGACAAAGTAGAACGGCCCTATAGAGTTTCCAAAGAGTGCCTGGTGGATTCAAACTGCCGACCTTTAGGTTAGAAGCCATAGCACTTAATCACTACGCCACCAGGGTTTCCTAGATATGTGGAAAATGATTTTCGAAATGTTTCTGTACTGTAAGGCAATTTTAAAATGAGCGTTTATTTAATCATGCATTCAACATTATTATCTATTCATTCAGCGAATATTTATTAAGCACTAGCATATACTAGGCAAGGAGCCCCGATGGTGCAGTCGTTAAGTGCTTAGCTGCTAACTGAAAGGTCAGCATTTGGAACCCACCAGCTGCTCCATGGGAGAGAAATGTGGAAGTCTGCAGCCGCAAAGATTACAGCCTTGGAAACCCTTTGGGGCAGTTTCACTCTGGTGCAGTGGTTAAGAGGTTGGCTGCTAACCAAAAGGTCGGCAGTTCGAATTCACCAGCCACTTCCTGGAAACCCTCTGGGGCAGTCGTACTCTGTCCAGAGGGTAGCTATGACGCCAGGGGCGTTTGGATTTATAGGGTCGCTATGAGTCAGAATCAACTCAATGGCACTGGATTTTTGGTATATTTTAGGCACGGTGCTAGGTGCTGGGGAAATAATAGAGAACAAGCTCTCATAAGCTTACAGTCTAATGGAAAGCATACTTTCTTTCATCAGAGAAAAAGATATTTGTTTTCATTTAGGGGAAAAAAACTCTCATCTTTTGGAAAAAAATATCTATGCAGCACATATGACAGAGTTAGCATCATTAATATAAAAAGAGTTCTTGAAAATTGAAAATAAAAAGACAAACGCCTTGAAAAGCAGGCAAAGACCATAATGAAAAAGTTGCAAAAAATTAAAAACAAGCAAGAAAAAATTAAATGGCTAACTTCACTAGAAATCAAAGAATTATGAGTTAAAATCTTTTTTTAGTCTATTAAATCAACAGTAATTTTTTTAAATGACAACAACTGGTATTGTTAAGTTAAGGAGAAAGGCAATCTCATGCACTATGGTGAGAGTATAAACTAGTAAAACATTTTTGGAGGGCAGTTTAGAGCTTTTATTAAAAGCCTTAAAAATGTCTATTTCATTTGATCCTTCAATTCCATTTTTAGGAACTTATTCTAAAGAAAAGAGCATGGATGTACACAAATATATATACATATATATAGCAACTCATAAATCAGTTGCTTATGGAAGGGAGCAGGAAAAATTAAATATTCAACAATAGGGATTTTGGTAAATAAAATAGTATAATGCAGAATACTTGGGAGTTATGTTTAACATGGGAATATGTTCACAATATATAAGTGGGAACAGTTTTAAAAGTGTGTTCACTATTATCACATGCTGTAAAATATAATAAATATATGTACATACAAAAGAATTAAAAACAAAATCTAAAATAATGTTGAAAAATTCACAGTGCTTATTTTCGAGTGGTGGAATTCAGCAGTTTTCATTTTACTTTAGATTTTCTACAATGATTTTGTTTTATTTTTGAAATAAGAAAACATTATTTAAAAGTATACTGAAATTCTTAACAGCAGTGAGACTGTTTAAAGAAAGAAGGGACACTTGAAAGCACCAAAATGAAATCAAGACAACCTTGCCGGCCCAACGTTTTAAAAACTACGGACGTAGTTTGTACAGAGGAAAGGGCACTGGACCTAGATGCTGACACTAAATTGCTGTGCACTTGAGCAAATTACTTAAATGATCTGAACCTGGTACTTCATCTGCAAACTTCAGATTGACCTATACAGTCCTTATGGTCCCTTTCAACTCACCTTTCCTGAGCCTTAGTGCTCATCCTTAAAGAAGAAAAGTAAAAGTCCCCATTATCATGTGTGCAAATGTTATGTATTTGCAGAGCTGTTCTAACCCACTTCATTTGGAGAGTTATCAAAAAATGATCTCAAAAGAGAAAATAGAAGAAAACACCCATGTTTTCTCAGCGGCCTACTCTACCAGGCATGTGCCTGGTTTTGAGGGCACAGAAAGACTTTAGGGCCCTCATAGAGTTCAAAGTCTGGTGGGAGAATCAATACTTACAATAAAAAGTGATAAATGACAACAGGGCCTTGAAAGATAGGTTCTTCAGGGAGTAGGTAAGAGTATGCCAAGTAGAAAGAAAAGCATGTACACACACAAGACACTAGAGGGAGGCTGTGGTTGACACACACAAACGGGCGGTTGTTTTGTGGTCTCTCTGGCAGCCTCGTTCTTCTCACAGTCACACAACACCCAAATCTCTGTGGGTGCTGAAAGATAGGTTGCCGCACACTCGGGATCAAGAGGAATTGCAGCACTCATTTCCAAAGGTTTCGTGTGTGTTCGCTCAGGCGGGTGAAACTGGCGGGAAACGGCAACACAGAAGACTTTCTCTGAGACACCAAGAAGGCCGAGGCTGTAGAAGTCTCAGAGCCGCCGGCGGCACTTTCGATTTAGGATTTCCCGCCAATCTCAGTTTCTTTATCTTCTAAGGCCCCGCCCACTCCGGAGAGGCTGATCGTTTTGAGGGCGGGGAAGCTTGGGAAGCCTATCGATGTCTCTGGAATAGACTGCCCTGCCCTGCGCCGTCGCATCAAAATCCCGTAGACTCTCCGTCGATTACCGAGCGGTAGTTTCGGCCGCGTTACTTGATCTGCAGTTTTGCCGGAGGCCGTCGGGAACTTGAGCTGGAACCATGGTGCGTTGAATCCCGAGCCATGGCAGGGTTGGGGCAGAGGTCCAGTATCTTGGGGGATGGCGAGTCGCCTCTTCTGTCATGCTTAGAGTGACCCGGGGCCTCGGGGCATGGGAGCCTCAGCCGACGGAGAGCCTAGACAGTGATTCAGCATCTCCGGCCAGGCGGGTCGAGGAGCTGTCGGTAGTCGGTGCGGCCTTTACTCCTGGGCTTACTTCGTTTCGTGCGGGACTTTGAACACCTCCTCCCTAGTCAGCTAGCCGAGTCTGCTTCTCAAGGTCCTTCGGTTGTGTAGAATCCGAGTAATCTAGAGTGGGCTTTTATACTGTGTGGGGAAGAGGGAGGAGAAAATAAGGACTTGATTTGGAGGCTTTCCAGTACCGCCAGTGAGGACTTGACGCCAGGGTTTGGGTTCCAGGATTGTGGCCGTTTTCCTGGTGGGCTTGTCTGATTTTACTCTCCCTTAGGACTCGATCAGAAAAGGCCGTTTTCAGTTACTTTTCCAATCACCTAGGTCAAAAAATGAGAGGGAAAGTGATGGAATCAGGGCTGCCGTATAGGGGCTTCCAGTCCTATGTCTGCCGTTCCAGCACTCAACCACTCATCCCCTTGATTATTCTCTCAAGTACTGTACTGATGAATTTGTCTTAATACCGCCATCACAGCAATAATGATTCTGTTGCTGCACTTATTGGTGTCCACCTCCCACTTTCTAAGGACATTTTCATAATAAACATCATAATATAAGGTAGAAAGGAAAGTGTAGATAAAGAACTATGAGAGTCCGCACTGGGAAGAGTTTTGGAGAAAAGATGGAGAAGACTTCAAGAAGGAGACATTTGAGCTAGTTAAAAGGAAGGGTTTTGGCCATATGTTAGAGTCCAGTATAAGGGAACAGCATAAGCAAAGATATGTGGGGAAGAAGGAGGAGAAAATAGAGATGTGACTTGGAGGCTTTGCAAAAAGTTGTATGAACTTTAGTAATTGACTGAACCTATGGTGTCACCATGAGTTGGAATCAGCTTGATGGCAAAGGGTTTGGTTTGGCTTGGAAAGGAGTGCTGTGGAGAGTGGTAGAAAAGGAAGTTGGGATGATATGACCCATCCGGATTTGCACACTCCCCTACATGACAAATGTGTGTAGAATTGACTTGCAACTGAGTAGAGTAGTAATCTTACTCTAAGGTTGCATTAACAAAATTGTGTTTGTGTTGCATGGAAACATATTTGAGAACATTTCTTCATGATACAGCATGTTAAGAATTGGGATTTGTAATGTTCTTGTATTAATGGATCTTTTTTCTTTTACTTTCAGTTTCGCAACCAGTATGACAACGATGTCACTGTTTGGAGCCCTCAGGTAAAATTAAGTCATGCCATTTCTATGCAGTGGCTTTTGGTGGCTACAATATGTTTAGGAAGTCATGAGATTGTATGCTGTGAGAAAATGGAATATAATCATTTTAGATATTCCTGGAACTTAAATTTTTTTTTCATTAAAATGTTTCCTGGTTTTAAAAAAAAATCATTTGAGATTTAACTATGCTTACCTGAGGTTGGGAAGCTCCAGAATAACTTTTACTTTGTAATAGTGTCTTCTAACATGACTCTAAGATGTGTTGTTTTTTCTCTTTAGGGCAGGATTCATCAGATTGAATATGCAATGGAAGCTGTCAAACAAGGTTCAGCCACAGTTGGTCTGAAATCAAAAACCCATGCAGTGTTGGTTGCATTGAAGGTAAATAAAATAATAAATATGTCTTTCTCGTTTAGAAACAGAACTACTAAACATAGATTTCACTGTGTAGACAATAAAGTCATAAACTTCTTTTTGTTGTTGTCGTCGTGGTGAAAGTATGTACACCAACACGTTCGCCAATACGACAGCTTACACATTTACAATTCAGTGACAGTGAATACATTTTTCATGTTGTGCCACCATTATTGCTATTCTTTTCTAAAATATTCCACCACCCTTAACATAAACTCAGTGCCCCCCAAACAAAAGCGCCCTTTTACTCTCCTTCCCACCCTAAGTAACCGTTAATAATCTTTTGTTTTTGTATGTTTGCTTATTTCTTCATAAACTTGCTTTTATGTCTTTTAATCTCTCTATTTAGAGGGCACAGTCAGAGCTTGCAGCTCATCAGAAAAAGATTCTCCATGTTGACAACCATATTGGTATTTCAATTGCGGGGCTTACTGCTGATGCTAGACTGTTATGGTGAGTATGATTATGAAAAACAAAAGGAATATCCTTTTTGATTCACATTTGACTAGTCTACATTTCTAGAAAAGATCTATTTTAGAAAGTTGTTTGCCAGAATGTTTATAAGTTAAAGTTGTGGGCTTAGTGGTCTTGGGTTCAGTAACTAAGTATTCCATTGCTTGGTCCCTGTATAGTAACTAATAGAATAAACCATATTAACACTGTTGAGAAGAAATTGAGTAACATGATACTTGTTGATTCAGTGTATATTGTCGAGACCATGTTACGTCTAAGAAGAGCTAGACACTTGTCTGGTTTCTAAAGATGAGCTGAACCACCCTTGCTTTCTTTCATAAGTATTTACTGTATTAGACATTTATTTTTTGCAAAGCTCAACACTGGATACTGTGGAGTATACAAAAGTGAATCATACACAAATCTTGTTTTCAAGGAACTTAAAATCTAGTTGTATATGATAAGCGTAATATCTATAATATAACGTAGAAAATGGAGAGTTTTCAAAAAGTAACACATAAATTTCTGTGGAAGTCTAGAGGAGAGAGATTATTTCTCATTGAGAGGCCATGACACCAGAACATACTAAAGTGGCTCGTATACCTGCCAGTAAACCTCCAGGGGCAGAAAATGTAACTGGAACATGTGTATCCCAGAGACTGTGAAAGGGTTTTTAATACTCTAACATGTAGAGCACTAAACATAGTGTGTTTCAGGTAGTATGTGAGATTTGTGTTGGAAGGTGGGAGGTACTTAGCTAACACTTATCTTTTAAGTCCATGATTTGATTAGGAAAGAAAGAATATAAACTCTAAGAGAAAAATAGTAATGCTGATGTTTAAGATTTTCAAGTTTTCCAGCCAGACCTTTGCTCTCTTAGGTCAGCCATGTAGTGACAGCATTGTTGGTTTCTATCAGTTCTTGCAAATTTAAGATATTTTCATGTACTACAGAGACTTAGGCAAAACTGTTTAGACTAGCATTATCTAAAAAGTAATACAGTGCAAGCTACAGCTATAATTTTCTAGTAGCCACATTAAAAAAAAGCCAAAAGATATGGGAGAAATGAATGATAATTTTATTTAATCTATGTAAAATATTATTATGTCAGCATGTAATCAATTAAAAATTATTAAGATATTTTACATTCAAAGCTAAGGATGTGAGCTTTGGTGTGTATTTTGCACTTACAGCACTTCTCAATTCAGACTAGTCACTTTTCAAGTGCTCAGTAGTCACGTGTGGCTGCTGTGTTGGACAGTGCAGTTTTAGACATCATTGGGAAGTAGACTTAAATAAACAAATAGCTTGGTGCCTGCAGTCAAAATTTGATCATCAGATGTGACAAAGAATAAACGGGACCAAGCAACATGGAAAGAAAGACACATAGCCATTTCTTGTTGTTTATCCTTTTGGCTCTAATAGTTAGGCATGAATTTGCCTTTCCCCAATGTTATACTCACTTGAGTCTTGTTAGTTTTAACAATGAGACTCAACAGTCTGGTGTCCAGTAACTCCTCTGCTCTGCTTATGTATAGAAATAACATTGGCAGGAACTCATAAGGATGTCCTCTAGTATAAATTCTATTTTTTGCAGTTGCTCTATTTTTTTGATATGATGTTGAATTCTATTGGCTAGAGTTTTGTTGAGAATTTTTGCATCTATATTCGTGAGAGATATTGGTCTGTAATTTTCTTTTTTTGTGACATCTTTGTCTGGTTTTGGTACCAGGGTTATGCTGGCTTCATAGAATGAATTTGGAAGTGTTGCTTCCTTTTCTGTGTTCTGAAATATTCTGAGTAGTACTCGTACAAGCTCTTCTCTGAATGTTTGGTAGAATTCTCCAGTAAAGCCGTCTGGGCCAGGGCCTTTTTTTGTTGGGAGTTTTTTTTATTACCTTTTCAATCTCTTCTCGTTATGGGTCTGTTCAGATTTTCAACTTCACTTTGTTGTAGTTTGGGTAGGTAATGTGTTTTCTAGAAATTTATCTATTTCCTCTAGGTGTTCAAATTTGTTGGAGTATAGTTTTTCATAATACTCTGTTATCCTTTTTATTTTAGTTGGGTCTGCTGTAATGTCACCCATTCCATTTCTTATTTGGGTTATTTGCGTCCTCTCCTGTTTTTCTTTTGTCAGTCTGGCCAGTGGTTTGTCAATTCTTTCAAAAAACCAACTTTTGGTTTTGTTGGTTCTTTCTATTGTTTTTCTAGACTCTATTTCATTTATTTCTGCTCTGATCTTTATTATTTCCTTTATTCTGGTGGCTGTGGGCTTTTTTTGCTGTTCTCTTTCTATTTCTTTCATCTGTGTTGCTAATGTTTTGATTTTGTCCTGTCTTCTTTTTTGATATGTGCATCTATTGCTATCAGTTGTCCTCTGAGGACTATCATTGCTGTGTTCCAAAGGTTTTGGTATGATGTGTTTTCATTCTCATTTGATTCTAGGAATTTTTTTATTCCATCTCTGATTTCTTCTATTACCCAGTGGTTTGTAAGCAGGGTGTTATTCAGTTTCCATGTAATTGATTTTTTTTCCTTGCTCTTTCTGTTATTAATTTCTACCTTGAGGACATTATGGTCAGAGAAGATACTTTGTATTATCTCAGCTTTTTGGATCTTGTTGAGGATTGCTCTGTGGCCTAAGATGTGGTCTGTTCTGGAGAAGGTTCCATGTGCATTGGAAAAGAATGTGTCCTTCGCAGCGGTTGGATGGAGTGTTCTATATATGTCTATGAGGTCAAGTTGGCTGATTGTGCCCTTTAGGTCTTCTGTATCTTTGCT